CTCTTTACGGTGGCCAATTTACGTTTTCAACTCAGTTAATAACACTTAATTACCTTGTTATACTCTCTCACCGACGCAGCACCACAGTTTCTTTAGAAAGTTACCCCCTATGTTCATTTGATTAAAACCTCACTCGTTTGCTGCGCTCACTCGTTTGATACTGTTCTTGCCACTCGAACATACAATTCACGTCTTCTCTTCACCGTGTAATATCCTCTATATATCGACCAGAGGGTACTCATAGCAGGCGTGTCTGTTTATGAACACGTAAACTCTCGCTAGGGGCCATTTTTTTGTTTGCAAAAGAGTCTAAAACGCAGACCTTTTATTTTTAATTATAATTCTCTATGGAGAAGGTAGAACGTCGTGAAATAAAAACAGAATGGCTCAACATAAAAGAAACATTGCCAATTGTCAGATTGAAAACGCATTCAGCTTTATAATTATAAGTATGTCGTTCTATCTAAGGATCTGAAGACTGGTTCACACGTGTGATGCAAATGCAAACGCAAACGCAAATGGAAATGCAAGCGAGTTCACACGTTCAACGCAAACGCAAGGAAAGAGAGATACGCAAGCGCAGTAGAAGTATTTTTCCAAGATCGCCGACAATGATTGAGCTTTTGCCGATTCACACGTGTGAGAAGCGAACGCAAATACAAACTGGAAAATGTTTTATCATACAAACTACTGTGTTATACAAGGATTTCCAGCCCTGAGGAAAGCCTCAAAATGCGATATTTTTTCACGTGTGTTTGATATCGCCAATCAGCTGCTGATACGTTACACGCCTTTCGCGCCACTCGGTCAGGTTGACGAAAGAACAACAAAGCCTCCACCATTCTCAATCCAAGGTCGTTTGTCGGAACATTTTCGAATTGTGGCTGCTAGAAAACTGAAATATCCGTATCGACGCTTACAGAGGGTGACGTTCAAACTTCCTTAGAAAGGAAAAAAACCAAAATACGAAATGAAAAACCGAAAGTTACGTATTTAGTGGCTTTGATAGTGGTATTTCTCGCGGCTGAGAACGGAAATCGACAACTGGAAGATTTGCGACAGGCCGATTGCGGCCATTTACCAGAATGATTTCTTCCGCTGGTAAGGACCAATTCAATACCTGAGAATTTTGTATATTGAAAATTAGGCCAATTGTTTTTTTGTTGTGATTCAACGCATGTTTTCATCTTGAGTTCGCTAATGCACTTTACGATTTGTATTCGTGGATTGTCGATCCTTTTATTTTCATTCACTAATAGAGTCGACTTTTATGTTTATATGAAAAACATAATAGTACGTAGTTGCTTGTAGATATGAAATTTCTCTTCTCGTGTTTAACTTGACATCTCACTCGTGAGCTATCGAGTTAAACACTCGAAGAGAAATTCCATATCTACGCGCGCCCATGTATTACCATGTATTATTCTCTATTTATTCCTTGCGTTCACTCTTGCGTCTGCATTTGCATTTGCGTTGGGGTAGGCCTCTCTAAGTTACATTAGGCCTAGAAAATCGGGGTTTTGCTTCGCAAAAGCATGAGAGGAAGAAATAGAGAAAAAGAAAAATGGCGAAACTACTAGTAAAATTATCATAAACTCGCTATTAAGGTTCTAAGCCGGTGAATATTTAAGTTTGCTTTCGGTATAATATTGACGTCGGATTTTATATTACGATTTTTTAAAAACAGGTTTCATGCCAATGCAATTCGAGTTATCCTGCACGGGTGGACGACCTCTTATCAAATTGTTTTATTACGAACAACTAACTACCGCAGTAAAACGATGTTTTTTAAGTTTGCAATTTACGACCGTTTTTTCATCTTTTGATGTCAAGAGATTTTGTAGACCACTTTATCTTTGCGTTTCATTGCGTTTGGTAGAAAACAAGAGGGAAAAATCATTAAACGAGGCAAAAAATCTAGCCATTGCAACCACATATGAATTGGGAGCCTTAAATTTCAAAATTTAATTTTGAAATTTTTAAAGACTGCCAATTTTCATCAAAAATTCCTTCATCGTGGGTTAACTCACAAGTAACGTAAAACGAAGTAAATATCTCATGCAAAACATAAACTGTTGGAATATTTACGGTGGTTTTTATGTCATGGTTATTTTGAAAGCAGGTTTTATTCCCACAGCTATTCGAGTTATCCTGCATGGGCGGACGACCTCTTATCAAATTGTTTTTCTTACTGACAACTAATTACCGCAGTAAAACGAAGTTTTTAAAGTTTGCATTTAACGACTGCTTTTCATCTTTTGATGTCAAAAGATCTAGATTTCCTCGACCACTATATCGTTGCATTTAGCCACCGCAACCAAATACAAATTGGGTGAGGTGAGATGAGAGTTTATGTTTACAGTCTAAACACGGTTATAACGTTCCAAACACGCGTGTATTTTTAAGAAATATACTTTACAAAAGCAATGGAGGGCTTGTGGAGTTTCCACAAGTTCATCGAAACTGACCAGAGAGAATAATCGTGCATTGAGAGAGTACTCGCCAAAGTTTGCATTTCTGGCATTTCCGGTTTAAATAAATTTAAAAAATTCAACTCTATGACTTAGGAAGTAGCTCATCTCCGATAGTATTTTTCAGTTTGACTACGAGAAAGTAACGGACTTAGTCCAAATTAACGCAATACAGGCGTATGCTTCTATCCAAAATTTCGGTTCAGCTGCACTAAAATTAATATACCCTAACTACTTCCTTTATGATCCCGCCTGTGAGATAGTGAACGTGAGGTTGTCAATAAATGTCTTATTCATAAGAATATTTTTAACCTAAAAAATTAAGCAGTCGAATTTAGGATGATACCCATCAAGTTCTGTCCAGTAGGTTTCCTTTACTTATGAAATACCTTGCAAGAAAATAAAGTCTTTAATTAAGAAATTTATTACCAGATAATAAACAAAAAATCGACTAAAGAAGTTTTTTTAGAGGAAATTAACAACATTAAAAAAAATGCTTCGTATTTCAATTTTAAAACGGTTTCTCAGCCAGTTAAATTGCCCTCTTCAGTGATATGTCTTCTCCTGTAAACACTAAAAGCTTTCAAAACTTCATTTAAGGTTTCTAGAAGCTGTTCATCTTCATTTATTTGATATTCAGGTATTGATTCTCCAGACGAAGCTGTTTTGCCGGCGTTTTGGTTATACGTACATACGAAACTTTCTTTGAATTAACGACGTACAGGTGTAGAACAGCTTACCTGTTGTTCCTGTTCAGCCGCACTCAAAACGTCTTCCCACATCTAGATATCATATGTCAGACATTTGCAAAACTAATTTCGAATCTTGATAATGAAGTGTTTATTCTCTATCACTATTCCTTGACTTGTTGTTTTCTTATTCATTGGGATAACCGCATTTGGTCAAATTTGACTCTAACTTATTTTTTTAGAGGATACGAAGTACTTCGTTGTCAGTGAGGTATGTTCGTGAGATTTAATTCGTTTACAAACTCTAACTTGGATGAGATGAGGTAAAGCGAGTTAAAAATGAGTGGAGAGAAGATATAGAAAATCTTTTGTAAGCCTGTGGGAAATTTTAGAATTTTTGTTTTATTTCCTTTTTTTAAATGCTTATGAAACGATTAAGGAATTTGAGACCTGTTGTGAAAAGCCTGTTGCTTCTCAGCCTTCGTTACACGTTCGTGACAAGACGATTTTATTGTTGGAAAAAGAAGAAATTTGTTCTAAAAAGATAGAGGGAGACTGAATTATCAAACTCCTGGATATGTATTGCACTAAAAAAAAGCACATGAAAATGATTGAAAGTATGAAAGAAGGGTAACAGATATAATTCTGTTGCTATGGTCACCGTGACTGACAATCTGAAAAAAAAAAACTCGTTTGATGTGCATTTGTTGATTCTCTATATTCAGCTGTTTTGTAGGTGGATTTACCACGATAAGGACTTTAATCACATTAACAATCGTGGAGTTTAGGGGGATGCCTCTATCTGTAATTCTTGTCTAGCTGCACTAAAAAATGCCGTTTTCCTTTCAGCTATTATCTGTCAATCATTCGGGAAAACTAAATTGGAGTTCTAATAATGATAAGTTTTCGTCTGCATTGCACTCTTCCTCAGCCTGCTACTTCCTTTTCTATTTGAAAACCGCCTTTTCCGCATTTGACTTAAAATCAAAAGGATAGAAACACTTTCGTGAGGTAAGTTCAAAATATTCGTAAGATTCGTTCGCAAATTCTGCCTTCGATGAGCTGAGGAAAATTGAATCAATATGGACGAAAATATGTCATTGATAATCTTAATAATCGGAACGCGATGAAAACGACGTATTTCTCCGGTTTTTTGCTTATGATATTGACAAAGGATGAAATTTATCCGAAGCGAGAAAAAACAATAATTAAACTTCTAGGTGTAGCAAATAAAACATACGACATGTTTTTTCTTTTAAAAAGGTTAGTTATATATCACCGTACCTACGGTTAATTTATCTTTGAAATTTTGAACGCGGTAACAAACACAACCGAATTTCTAATAGCAGCACCGAGAAGAGAAGCAGGTTTTTCTACTCAGTCTTTCTACTATATTTCCGGAAGATTTCCAAATTTTTTGTTGCCATCTGTAGAGGGAGAGGGAGACTCCATAGGGAGACTCCATTATAGCCATGGAGGCTATAAATTTCCTTCAAGCAATTGAGATCATTAGTGGCAAAGCTTTCCGCTTATTCAGTGAACATCGAAAAAGTTCTATAATTATTATTAAATTCGTCTTTATTGAAAGAAAAAAAAAGGAATAGGCTATGATGTATATTCATATCCGCATAAAAAAACACGAGGATCAATTATAGTTAACAGACGAAACTTGGTCAAAGCACATAAAAAAAGTAAAAAGCAATATTTGACATATATCTTTATTGAGAATATTCGTTTCATATTTCATTTTATCTCTAATTCAAATGTTTTCTGTTATTTTTATAGCAGCTAACTGAGCTCAGAGAAAATGCAGCGTTTGTCTTCAGCTTCAGAGTGTATTCCATGGCTTGTGGTCCTCATCGTCGAATGTCTGGCCATAGTCATCCTTAATATCATCACCATTGTTGTTTTTGTGAAAAAGAAGCGTCAGCTACAGCGGCGGAGTACATATTTGATCATCCATCTGGCGATAGTCGATCTCTTAGTGGGCGTAGTGTCTGGGCCTCTACAGATTGAACACATAATTGGGAGTCTCTGTTCTCTATGGAAATACAGACGAAAGACTATGTGGTCTCATCGTTTATCTTTTGCATTTGTACATTTATTCTCGTTCACTTCCCTTACCAATCTTATTGCTATTTCCTTAGAACGGCTTCACGCAACATTTTGTCCATTCAGGCATCGCTTTGTGAGGAAATGGGTTCATAGAGCCATAACTATTGTCATTTGGTTTATAGCTATTGTTAGAGAAGCCGCTCAAATTTTCTTATTGGAAATTGTTGATGTAGTGGTAATTGATACTTACTTGTATATCTTATTTTATGCAGTTTCTCTATTTATTATCTGTGTATCTTACATCCTCGTTGTTATCAAAGTACGATGTAGTCGTCATCCTCAATTCCATTCTAGGTCCAAAAGAGAAAGAAAACTGACGGGTACTGCGCTTATCGTTTCACTTGTATCTTTACTTTGTCTTCTACCAGCGATGATATATGTAGCATGTCGTCACATTTCCTTCACTTGTTTGATGAATGTTCATTTTAATTTGGCTACGCTAATTCTATTCTTAGCTAACTCACTTGTAAATCCTATAATTTACGCTCTTCGGATGCCAGGATTCAGAGAAGGTTTATTACAGCTAGTTTACAGGGTCCCTAACCTTTCTCGTGTCGCCCCAGCAAACCTGCCTCTTCGTAACCTTTAGAGAGCGTAGATAAATGCTAGCAAAACTATTGATGAAATTTGTCATTTAAATAACTTCAACTTCTTAGCCGAGCGACATGTATTTCTATTTCAGTTTTTGGTTTCCATTTAATTCTTAACATGAGTCAGGAAAATACGCTGGTGATATACGAAAAGATGATCGATACAGTATAGTTTTGCCTATGAATAAAAACAGTTTACTCAACTTACTCTACGTTGTGATCATTTGCATGACAGCTTGACTTTAACCAAAGTAAACGCGAGTTTTAACAAACCCTAGATGAATAACTTAGAGTGACTTTCTTACCCCTTCCCCACCCCTATATGTTGATGAGACTGCGTGAACATGGAAAAATTCCTCTATTGCTTTATGGAAAAGCACCATGCGCAAAGCAAAGCAAAGCAAAAATGTGCGCGAATTAAACCTCTTAAATAACCACTGCTTGTATATGGACGGGAACGTTTTACCGGGAACCCAAACACACACAAACGCACACAATCTTAGTATCAATACGACCACCACGTCCAGGAACCGAGTGGCGTATTTATTGTGTGTAACAGGTGGTATGGTGATATGGAGCAACGAGAAAACCAAAATTTTCAAGGAATTTGTCGAAAGTTGCGACTAAACAAAGGTCAACTTTTCATGTGTCCGTGCTGAACAGCCTTCAAAGGTTCGTGGCAAAATGAGGCTGAAAACAAAAGTATCTGATAATTTTAGCCAGAGTCAGTAATCGAATTTTCATTAAGCTTACAAGACCAGTGAAGATATATCTTGGTTTAACTGACGATGTTATTGTTGAGCCTTTTTATAATTTGGGCACCAGGAATTTTTTTTTTATTAATATCCAGGTTTATAATCTCAACCACTTAACAAACAGAGAAGCCTCGCCTGTGCTCTGTTCTTCTGTAAAGCACGCAGCAAACGACTAGAGCACGAAAGAAGTGTCGGGAGAAACACGAGGCGTAGTCGAGTGTTTCTCCCAACTTCTTTGCGTGTTTATAAACACGCAAACTCTCGGTAAGGTATTTTTTTGTCAGCAAAAGAGTCCAAAATGCAAACCTAATATTTGACTTATCACTTATAATTATGTCATTCCATGATGACATGCGATGTAAATGCAAACGCAAACGCAAATGGAAATGCGAAGGAGTTCATACGTCCAACGCAAACGCAAAGAAAGAGAGATACGGAAGGGCAGTAGAAGTATTTTTCCAAGATGGCCGACAACGATCGAGCTTTTGCCGACTCACAAGTGTAGGAAGCATAGCGTTGACGCTTGCGTTTGCATTTGCATTGGGGTGTGATTGGATTGTGCAATTCTTTGCATTTGCATTTGCGTTTGCTGAGGTTCTCCTTGTGTTATTGATTGACTGAGGGAGGTGTGGGTACTTTTCTTATTACACTCTTAGGAAATTATATTCGACTTTTCAGAGCCGGCCTACCACAAATAATATATAGATTTAGCCAAGCCTAAAAGCGGAGCTCGCATTTTTTTTCCCGCACGTCTCAAGGGCACAACGCCTTGCCCCGGCCAGGACTTGAACCCGGGTCGTCCCACTCGGAGCCCAGTGCTTTGACCACTGGACTACTGGACAAAGCCGTGGCGTTGGCGTGCCCGCGGTACAGTTGACCACGCATGTTAAAAGTAGCGCCTTGTACGGTCGTACGGTCGTAGATCCAAATTTTTTCGGCTTGATGGGTTACTACTATTTTGTATACACTATTTTTGTTACATTAAGAACCTAGAGCACCGGGGTTGAGCTTGGCAAGAGAATGAAAGGAAGAAATAAAGAAAAAGACAAATAGCAAAATTACTAACAGAATTATTGTAGACTCGCTATTAAGGTTCCAAGCCGGTAAATATTTAAGTTTGCTTTCAGTGTAATATTGACGGCCGTTTTTATATCGCGATTATTTTTAAAACAGGTTTTATGCCGATACTATTCCAGTAATCCTGCATGGGCGGACGACCTCTTGTATTATAGACAACTAACTAACGCAGTAAAACGATGTTTTGCATTTTACGAGCGTTTTTCATCTTTTGATGTCAAAAGATTTCCTCAACCAATTTTTCTGCGTTTGGCAGAAAACAAGAGGAAACAATCATTAAACGCGGCAAAAAATTTTTCCATTGCAACTACATATAAATTGGGAGTCTTAAGTTTCAAAAGGCTGCTTAGTTCAAATAAGGAATTTCTAACAAAGCCATCGATATACGAGTCTTAAAGTTCAGTGTATTAGATCAGCTACTTCAGTGCAAAGAATATCAATGATTTTAAACAGAGCAAATTATCTTGCCGAAATTAAAAATTTTACTGAACATTTCACAAGAAAGGCTTCAAGAAACATTCCGTTCATAGGCTTCTTTTTATGGGCAACTAGGTTTATAATGTCTACGTTTCGGATTGATTGGCAAACAGAAGTAAACTCCTGCAGTAGTTTTAAAGAATTGAAGTGTGTGATCAATAAAAGTGTTTAGATGAGAGTCTATGTTTACAGTCTAAACAGGGTTGTGACGTTCCGAACATGCGTGTATTTTTAAGAAATATACTTTACAAAAGGACTGGAGGATTCTTTGCCGAGTTCCCACTATTTCATCGAAACCGGCCAGAGATAATAATCGTGCATTGTAATAATAATAAAAAACTTTATTAAAATGTCAAACCATGTAGCCTGAGAGAACCCATACTAATAAGGGGACACGTATTAGTATAAGATAAAATACAGAATTGTATAAAACACAATGCAGAATTAAAAGACTAAGACATCTACATTAAGATATGAATTTTAAGGTGAAAAAAAGGCAAATATGTCATGTTGAGCAGAGGATACAGTCTAAACACGTTTGTGTCGTTATATACACGCGTCTAATTTTAAGAAATATACTTTACAAAAGCAAAAAAGGACTTTTTCCCGATGTCCTCATATTCATTGAAACCCAGGGTGAATGATCGTGCATTGAAAGAGTGTACCAAAGTTCTGCACGTCCGGTTTAAAAAACTCCTTTTATCATGCTCCCCCACCCCCCACCCCATTCGAGAGTAAGTAACGTAATATAACAGTAATTCCTCACTTGAATTGCCTCATTATGTATATTTTTCCATACGTTTAAAATACATCCAAAAACTCCAGAACAAAATCGTCTCAAACAAAATAAAGACTTTAGGTGCCAAAACACCTTAAAAGCCCTATATCGCGTGTTGACTGTAAGATTTTATGTGATCTGGGATGTGCAAAATGGTTACGCGATACACTCTCGAGTCTCTGAATTGAATCCTGGCCGAGCGTAGACGAGAAGACTCATATGAGAGTTGACTAAGAATAGAAACGGTACAAACATCTAAGCGACTTAAATGAAAAGCAATGCATTTTGTCGCTTATAGAAATCTAATCAACGATACAAGTGCAACGATTAATTGGCTTTCGGAGGGTTTTCTTTCTCGTGAAGTGAAACGAAGAATGAACGGTGATGATGACTGAATTAACCTATCATTTTTCCCCTTTGTCATATGTTCTCAGTTACTAACCGACAGCTTTTAAAAAATTCAACACTTTGATCTAGGAAACAGCTCATCTCCGATAGTATTTTGCTGTTTGATTATGATAAAATAAAGGACTTGGTCCACATTAACACAATACTGGTGTCTGCTTCTATTTAAAATTTGGGTTCAGCTGCACTCAACTTAACATGCTCTACTTACCTCCTTTACGATCCCGCCTGTGAGACAGTGAAACGCAAGGCTGTCAATTAAAGTTTTATTCATGAAAATAGTTTTTAACTTAAGATATGATATTACAACTGTATTAGCTTTCAAAAAATTAGACCGTCTAATTTATGATTATACTTTTGAATTCCCGTCCAGAATATTTGCTTTACTTATGACCTACCCTGTAAGAAAATAAAATCTTTAATTAATAAATTATCACCAACGTTCATAACGTAGCCTTTACATAACTACATGTTAAAAGATGCACAGTCTTCACTGTCTACGCAGTTATCTTGCGAATACTTTACTGCGAAATATAATCCAAAGCTGTAAATAATAACTTGAGTTAAGATAGGCAATTCCTTGAACTGAATATAATAAGGAATTAAGTTTTCAAGAGAAGTTTATTTTTAAAGAAAATGACCAGTTCCGTGCAGACATAAGAGATGGAAAATCGACTAAAGAAGTTTTTTAAAGGAAAAAATAAAATTTTGTGGGCCATAATTAACAACATTAAAAAAATGCTTCGTATTTCAATTTTGAAATGTTTTCTCAGCCAGTTAAATTGTCTTCTTCAATAGAGTAACTTCTCCTGTAAAAACCAAAAGCTTTCAAACTCCATTTAAGGTTTCTAGAAACTAATTATCTCCATTTATTTCAGTGACATTCAGGTATTGATTCTCCAGACGAAGCTGTTTTGCTTACGGTTTGGGCTCGCTTGCAATTGGATACGGCACTTTCTTTGAATTAACGACGTACAGGTGTAACTTACCTGTTGTTCCTGTTTAGCTGCAGTCAAAACGTCTTACGACATTTAGATATCATATGTCAGACATTTTGAAAGCTAACTTCGTGTCTTGATAGTGGTGTGTTCATTCTCTACCACTATTCCTTGGGTTGTTGTTTTCTCATTAATTCGTGTTGTTTATTTCGCAGAACACATAATGCTTGAAATCGAAAACTCAACTAAACCAGTAAGGGAGGTTTTCTGCAAACAGAAAATACGCTTAGAACAAACAAAATTACAATATACACAAATACAATGAAAACTCACCGACTGTTCGAACTTAGGGTTTCTATGAACAACGATAATTCACTGAAACAAATATCTCAACATAAACGCGACAATTTTTCCTTCCAAAAGCACATGGGCGATTGCCCGGATGTTTTACGTAAAACATAGGCCCGCAATTGGAGCTACAATTCGGAAAATCACCTTTGGTCAAATTCGACTCTAACTTATCTTTTAGATGATACGGAGTATTTCGTTATCATTGAGGTATGTTCGTA